CCCTACACAGTCTGGCTTTACGATATTCTCTTTCTGCTTTCATCTTTCTGGGCTAAGAGTCATTTGATTCTCAAGCTACTTTCCATCCTCCAGCTGCTCTGTCTTCTTTGACCTAAGAATCCTCTGAATTGTTTCCAATCTGAGAGTCTCTCTTTTCAAGGTGACCCAACCTTCCAGCAGCTAGTTATGGGTATGGATCAGTGAAATACTGATCATCTAAGGAGAAAAATAAATGCAAAAGTCACATTTTACGTAGGTGTGTTCGTAAGCCTGCCAACCATTGGCTGAAAGGCTGGCATTGCACCATCATATTATCAAATTCTTGTCTTTGAATTCTCTCCTGGCTTTCTGCACATGTGAAGAAAGACGTCCCTATTTGTGGCAAGGAAGAGTAAGGGGAATATTTACTATTACTGTTTCAGTTTATATTTTAGTTGTTAACGTTCATTGTTTTTTCTTTTTTCCTCTTTTTTTTATGGAAGTGTAGTCGATTTACAATGTTGTGTTAGTTTCAAGTGTGCAGCAATTAAACATATATATGTACATATATATGTCTTTTCATATTCTTTTCCATTATAGCTTATTACAAGATATTGAATACAGTTCCCTGCACTATACAGTAAATCCTTGTTGTTTACCTATTTTATATATAGTAGTTTGCATCTATGTCTAGGGGTCTTGTTCAGAAGTTTGTATCTCCGTCTAGGGGTCTTGTTCAGAAATGTTAGCATGAGTTGACATAACTCCTTTTCCTGCTTAAATTTGTAGGAGTCCAACACATCTGCAGAAGACGAACGGAACACTTGTTATTGGTTCATGCTTTCTTATCAAGTAAATAATCCTGAGTTAAATCTCTTCCAAGGAAGGATAAAATTTCATGATGGCCCACGTGCAATTTATTTATATGTTCTTTCCCGAGAGAAATTAAGCTGACAGAACTGACATCTTCCCTAATCTGGTTCAACTAATCTTTCTGAGATTACTGAGATCTTTTGGCACTTAACCGTTTGCCAGGCTAATTGCTTCGTTTGTGTTCCATTACATCGTGTCCGTGCTGTGTACAGTTAAAGAACTTGAGTTTCAGAGACAGTAAGTAATTTATCCAGCTTCTTTTTTTTAATGGGTGTTAGGATTCAAACTAGAAAATTCCACTACCCAACCCTGAGTGGATAAGGAAATTATTTATTTTTATGGTATTTATTATTTGTAGATAGTGCAATTATCTCATTTGTCATTTTTTTCTCCCTAAAGGTTGTTTTGGTGTTTTGTACACCAGGGAGACTTAGGATGCATTGATGATGTGGATTGAATAGGGCTCGTAGAGGGCTTGGTGGTCAGAGAGGTGTGAATTCAAATCCCCCCTCTCTCACTTGCTACGTCTGGCATGTTTAACAAGTATCTCTGTCTGAAAGTTCAACTTTTCCTCAGTAAGAGAAGGGATCAGACTCTCTTCGTCATAGGGTTGTTGTGAGAGTAAAAGGAATAATGCATAACAAGTTTATGAGTATAATTTAGGAACCAGTGTTGAACACCTAATAAAAAGGAGCTGTTATTATCCCGACCTTTCATGTTTTGGATAAAGTTATCATTTTATTTTCTACTGTAATTATTAGAACTTAATTTTATTTTTGGCTTTCACGTACATAATCAAGATCAGGAAGAATGAGCCCATATATTTTGTTTTTATTTTTATTTTTTTAATATTATATTGAATTATAGTTGATTTCCAGCGTTGTGTTAATTTCTGCTGTACAGCCAAGTGATTGTTATACATGTATCTATTCTTTTTCATGTTCTTGTCCATTATGGTTTATCACAAGATATTGAATATAGTTCCCTGTGCTATGCAGTAGTAGGACCTTGTCATTTATCCTTCCTATATATAATAGTTTGCATCTGCTAATCCCAAACTCCTGATCAATCCCTCCCCCGCAACCTTGGCAACCAGCAGTCTGTTCTCTGTATCTGTGAGCCTGTTTCTGTTCTGTAGATAAGTTCATTAGTGTCATATTGTAGATTCCACATGGAAGTGATATCATGCGATATTTGTTTTTCTCTGTCTGACTTACTTCACTTCGTATGATCATCTCTAGGTCCATCCATGTTGCTGCAAATGGCATGATTTTGCTCTTTTTTATGAGCCCGTATTTTAATTTGCACTTTCACGTTGACGAGATAGAAAAAGCAAAATTAAAGAAGAGCAGCTTTATGAATACAGTGTTATCTTCCACATTAAAAAATTTTTTACTGAATTTCACCAAAAATGTACTTTTGTGCACTTTTTACTGCCAACTTAACTTCAGTTTCCTAATGTCCTCCTTTACCTCTGCCTCAGGACATTTGCACGTGCGTGCTGTCCTGCTTTTCTCACCGTTGTCTCTTTCTCACCACATCTCCTGCTCATCTTTCAAACTTTGTTCCAGATGTTACTCCTTCAGGAGTCCTTACCCCCTCCTGACGAGGTCGATCTGACCTGGATAAACCTGCCCTTGATTCTCTGTCATTTTCCTTTGCAGAATTTTACAGGATTGTCATCTTATAGTTGTTATTTGTGGAACATTCATCTCTCTCCTTAGACAGTAAGCTGCATGAGGGTGGCCCACTCTTTGGTCTTCCCACTTCACTCTCTCTGAATATCCTTTGGACGCATACATAGGTGCCTCAGTTAATACAGGGATGACCTGCCCTTTCTCCAAAACGGGAAAGCTGGTACCAGAGATTTGGGAGCTGGGAGTATGAGTTGCCAGCCTCCGTGTCAGGTCAACTCATTCAAAATCTCTGGGGCAGTGGCTGGAGGATCTGCCTTCCCAGGATGGAGACTTGTTTAATTAACTCTGTCTGACCGCCGCAGTCGGAGTCAGCCCAGCCCACGACACGATTCCTGCCGTGTGTTTGCCGTGAGGATGGGCAGGTGTGTCCACGTTCTCTTCTTTGTGGCTGACACTCATTAGTTACATTGCTGGAGCCTTTGGACTTGAATGGGCTCCAGCCTGGGGTTACGGCCTTGGCCCCCGACCCTGAATTCATCAGGGTGGGCTAGCTACTGTAATAAATAGCCCCCCAAATACATACAAGTGTATTTCTGGTGCCTGTCACACTCAGCCGAGGTGGTAAAGATGTGCTGTGGTCCATGCAGTCTTCCGGGGATCCAGGATTCCTCCCCTTGGCCTCTGCTCCATCACCATCTAAGGAAGCCCTTGTCCACGGTGGCTCCTTAAGAAAGGATTAGGCTCCCATGAGGAAGCCATCCATCGCCTGTAATGCATTAAGTCGTGTCCTGTGCATCTGGGATGATCTTTGCTACGTACCACCCTTGGGAGAGCCGAGAAAATAGTCGCTGAAATGGTTTTCCGTAGGGTTTCGTTTTCCTGTGGAATTCGGGCTGAAATTGAAAGAGGTTGTCTGCCGAGGGACATTGCTCTTCACCTGACCTGTGGGGACAGAGGGTAGGAAACGTGTCCCCCACCTCAGCACCCAGTCTGGGGGGGACTCACGTCACATCATCTCAACGCCGTGGGTGAGAATTCATCACGCGGTCCTGCTTAGATGCAGGGAGCCCAAGACAAAGCAGCAGACACAGGCATTGGTGAGCTCCTCTGAGCCATATTTGCCATATTTGGAGGCAGAAAAGCATCAACTGGGCGTTTGTAGTTATTTGCACGAAGGGTTGTCCTAACTTGGCCTTTGCTCTTTTTGTTTAGATGATAGGTTGGCCGGAAATGGAGACTTCCGCTGGAGTGATGCGTGACCCGTTGTCACCACCCTCCGCCCAATTCGCAGAATTCACAGGGACCCAAACCAGCTCGGTATAACTCACTTCTGTTTCTTTCTTTTTTTTTTTTTTTTTTTTTCTGTACCGCACAGCATACGGGATCGAATGCTGCGCCCCCTGCCTTGGAAGTTCAGGGTCTTAACCACTGGACCTCCAGGGAATTCCTTACTTCTGCTTCTCAAGCATGGCCGTGTCTCTGCATGCCTGTCCGTCGACCACCAAAGGAGATGCCCCATGGGCTTCTCTGCCATCCCATGACCTTTCTAAATGGTTTCTCCATTGTGTTGTGATGAGTCTCTTTATTTTCGAGGTGGATAGGAGACCTGGTTGTCTATTCAGATTTTGTTTCCCTCCTCCATCACGGAGTTTTGTGTTGGTCCTTTGGTCATTCTCTTATATCTTGCTTTAGGAAGACTCAAAAGAAAAAGATACAACATCAAAATGGCCTATATGTCTTCCTTAATTTTTGTTAAGTTTTCGGGACAACTTTGCACCCGTGTTTCACATCACTGTTCGAGGATTATGGCTTTCCCTTTTTTTTTTGCCGCCCCCCCCGCCCCGCCAAATTTACCCTCATGAATCTGGGCTTTTGTTCCCAAGCATCCTCAGAAGATTAAACCCAGACAGACTCAATCTCGCTGACAGACCATCTTAGTCAAATGCTTCCGTAGACATTTGGTCTGAACTAATTGTATCCCTCTCTGAAAAGTATTTTTGTTGTTGTTTTAGAATTTTTACCAGAGAAGAGTTGATTTCCAACGTTGTGTTAGTTTCAGCTGTACAGCAAAGCAAATCAGTTATACACACACATGGATCCACTCTTTTTTAGATCCTTTTCCCATTTAGGTCATTACAGAGTATTGAGTAGAGTTCCCTGTGCTGTACGGTAGGTCCTTATTAGTTATCTAGTTTATATATAGCAGTGTGTATGTGTCAATCCCAGTCTCCTGATTTGAAAAGTTAACCTTTATGTCGCATGACAAATGTCATCATCTCATCTTGTGCAAGAAAAAGCTGGGGAGAAGTTCAGAGTGGCAAAGCACACTAAATGGCTTATTTATTTAGCACAACCCATTCGTTTGGTCTTATTTTCCCAGGAAAAAGAGTTCTCTGTCATTTTGCTTAAGACTGCGGTCCTGTGAAGCCCTCTGCAGGCTAACGATGGAACGGTTATGTTTCTAGCAGCCCGTGGAGAGCGCGGAAGGTGGCCCACCTGAGGAAGCCTTGGAGCCACGCCGGGAGCCCCCTGTGGATGTCACCAGGGACCCCAGTCTCCAGGATGCTTTGGAGGTGGCGTCCTCATTGTTTGCCTTGTCCAGCTCTCCTGATGGATGCTGTGCGCTAACTCGGGGGCCGGCTGTGTACACGCACTGGCGTTCCCCCCGTTTCGAGCCTCGCTTGCGGAGAGAGGAGTCCGCCTGCTTCTCCTGCTGCCTCAGACCCGTTTGCCTTCTCTCTGGCGTTTGCCCGCGGTGGTCGGTCCACCCACTTCCCTGTCCTCTGCTCTGATAATCATGCCCGTTCTCTCTTCAAAAGCTGTTCTGCAAAAGTTAATTGAAGTTATGGGGCTGTGCTGTGTTTTCCTGCCAAGTGAGCTTGGAAGTTCATGCACGTTGTCTAAAAAGACGAGCATAAAAGCTGGGAAATTTGGTGGTGCGGGGGGGGAACCTTTCAATCCAGATCGAGCAGGCGTTGATTTCTTCTTGAAGAAGGAAGTGAAAGATGCTTTCTTCCTGACTCTCCCTCTCACAGATGCTCTGGTCTTAAACTTCAGGCAATGCGATGATGCTTTTAATGAAGGCTCATTTCTCTCTAACCATGATCTAGTGATACCTTTTGGTCTTTTAGAGCAAATACAGCTCTAGAGCTGAGTGTTGGGTGTAGGATGAAAATTCGTATTGATTTTTTGTATTGTGTTTTTGTCTGTTGAGGCTGCTGTAACAAAGACACCATAGTCTGGGTGGCTTATGAATAATACGAAATGTATTTCTGGCAGTTCTGGAGGCTGGACCTTGGTGTCTGGCGAGAGCCCACTTCCTGGCTCACAGAGGGTGTCTTGTTGCTGGTTCCTCACATGGAGGAAGGGGTGAGGGAGCTCTCTGAGGTCTCTCTTCTTGTGAATTTATTTTTTAATTGAAATATAGTTGAATGTGTCCCACTCAACTCTTTCCAGAAAGTTTTCATTCCCGGGAACTCACGGAGCCCCAGTCCAAGCGCTCTTAGCGGGGAAACGTGCTGAGTTATCCTGGGAAAGATCCTGTTTTCGCTCTGCACTTTCTTTGACCAACACGTTGGCAATGTTTCAATAAAATGTGCGGGGATGAGTGTAGAAAGCAGAACCTTATATGTAAAAACCCTTTGAAAGCATCGTGGCAGATAAACAGTGGAGCAAGTGCTGCATGCCTAGTGGATAGAAACTAGCATAACTGTCTGGTGTCCAGTACTGTCCTCCCCCACCCCCCCTTTTGCTGATCTATTTGCGTGGTGTGTGTGTGTGTGTGTGTGTGTGTGTGTGTGTGTGTACACACATTGCATATTTATAATTTTCCTCATACGTATCCTTTAAGAATATGGAGGGGGCTTCCCTGGTGGCGCAGTGGTTGAGAGTCCGCCTGCCGATGCAGGGGACGCGGGTTCGTGC